GAAGGGGAGATGGGAGGCTCGGCCCCTGCCCTCCTGAGGCTCAGCCCCTGCCCTCCTGAGGCTCAGCCCCTGCCCTCCTCGCCTCGGAGCCACAGCCTGCAGCTCCTGCATGACTCACTGCCTGGGAGAACCTGCGCTGCTCTCATCTCCGCCAGGCCAGCGGCGATTCCAGCGCTTCACACGAATTTCAGTTCCTCCCTCACTGCCCATTTGGCTTCCTTCCCCTTTGCTCACAGGCTCCAGACCTGGGCTTGTGCTTGTCTGGCCACGTAACCACAGCTTGGGGTTCCCAGGGTGGCCGGACAGTGGGAAAAGAGCAAAGCAGGGGAACATGAAAGGCACAGGGCTGACAGCAACACGAGGCAGCTGCGGCTGCAGGCAGGAAGGACATTAAAGGTCTCTGAGCTAAAAGGTTCTGCAAAATGAGCGGGGTAGAAAATGTCACAGGAGCTCGGCAGCCCCACCTGGCCCAGCCTGCAGAGCCCTGCAAGGGGGGCTGAGGCTCTGTTTGCTGAGAGCTGATTCAGCCCCGGGAGCTGCTCAGACAGGTAGGCTCATCCTCTGCGCCCAGCCTGTCCACAAGCACCGAGGGCTGGGCCCTGGCCGAGCACCAAGTGTTTGTCTGAAACCCTGTAAATAATGAATGCAAAGTGCTGCAGCTCCCCAAACAAGTTCTGTTGGTCTTGACCAGCTGAGGAGCTGCAAATGACAAATATTTGCCAGCGGAGAGGACCGAGGGAGCTGCCTGCCTCGAGCAGAGCCAAAATCAATACCTTGGGAACCTCTCCCTGTATTTAGAGCTGGTGAAGAAGCAGTTCTGTTTCTTTCAAAGCCTTGGAGGCTCAGTGCAGGGCAGATCCAGGGATGGCAGTGCAGTTTGCAGGTGTTTACAGGGGAGATCAGCACACACAGGGCCAGAGAGGCGCCCAGGAGAGGAGCAGCCCCACAGGAGGAGAGACACTTGATGGCTCTGAGAGCAAAGGCAGAGGGGAAAACAGAGGGGAATAAAACTTAGAGCTTACCCAGCCATGTCAGCAGCAGGGCCAGGCTCAGCACCACCTTCATCTCCCTCTGCAAAGAACAGCACAGGTGACACCTGGGGCAGGACACCAAGGGCTGGCAGCCAGCTCGGGGTCAGAGGAAGACTCTGGGAGGCTGGAAATCAGCACAGCACAGAGGCAGAGACAGGGCTCTGGTTTGTGAGACCACACTGAGCCTGGAAAGGAGGAGCGAGCGTGGGGAGAGGGCTCAGCCCCTTCATCTCTTCACCTAAGCAAGTCACGAATCTTTCCGGTGGTTTGGGGGTCGAGCTCTGACATCTGAGCTGAGATGTTCACAGCCCTTTACTGTGCTCATCACAGAAGCTGGGTCCTAAACCAAGAGCTCCTGCTCCAGATCTAACCCTGCCCCTGGGTGCTGTCTCTGCTGCAGCTGCACCTGCTCCACATCTCAGAACAAAGCTGGCTTCTCCTTTCTGCAGGTCTGTCCTGCAGCCCAGGGAAGGACTGGCTGCCACCCCAGGAGGTGCCAGGCAGTGTCCCAAGGGAGGCAGGGTCAGCACCCTGCTCCCTGTCCCTGCTCCATGACTCCCAGCTCTGGCCCTTCATTTGAGGGTGAGTGGTTCCTGAGAGCAGCTCTCCTGCCCCGAGAGCCCTCACGTGAAGCTGCTGCAATTGGGGCTGCCATTACCAGCAGGTATTTTCCAATACTGCAGCAAAAATGAACTAGAAATAGAAAGACAAGAGCTGAATCATCTCTGGCATTTTGGTGGCTTCTCACTTTTTGCTCCACTGTGAAAGGGAGAGGAAGCTCTCCAGGCCAGCCTCAGCCAGGGATTCCAGACCCAGACCCTTGGATCAGTTCTAGGCTGAGAAAATCACTCCAGCTTTGTACCTTCATCACCCTGCCCTTTCCACAAACAAAAAAATCCTGAGAAGTGGCAGCAAGCCTTCTGGAATCCTGTGCCATCTGCCTCTCCTCACACAGGACCCCTCTGGGGCTGGCTTTTTGTGTGGTTTGCTGTGCTCTGTGCAGCTCTGCCATGGTGACACACTTGGCTGCACAGTTGCCCTACAAACACAGCTCCTGCTCAGCCCCAAGCCCTCAGCACAGCCAGGACAGAGCCAAACCTGCAGAGCTGCACTCTCAGGACCACCCCATGCAGCAGCCAGCTCAACCCCAGTCCTGTTTCACGGCAGAAAACTGAGATTTCTGTGCCCAGCACCTCCCAAAGCTCTGGGGCTCTGGGCTGTGTTTGCCAGCAGGTCCTTGCTGGGTTTATTGCCCTGGTTTTGAGGAGGATTCATTGCCCTGGTTTCTGGTCCTTTGCTGGGTTTATTGCCCTGGTTTAGAGCAGGATTTCTGCTCCTGGCTGGGAACACATTTCTGCAGGGTGTCCCCTGTGACACACAGCAGTGAGAGGGTGCTGGGAGGCACCAGCTGGAGCCAGCACCCACTCACCAGGCTGCTCTGAGTGTGCCAGTGCTGACACATCCAAATCAGGCTGGGGGAAAAGGGGCACAGCCAGCACATGGCATCACATCCCCTGCTTTTGCACATGGCACTTCTGCTCCCCTGGTTCTCTTGTCACGAAAAACAAATGAAAAAAAAAAACCATCCAGAAATAAATATCACAGCAAAAATTACTCACCTAGAGTGGCCTGGAAAGGTCAGCTCGTCTTGCACGTTCCTCAGCAGCTGATTCAGTGTCTGAACCCGGAGTATCTGAATCAGTTGCTAAATCATCTCGAGGTTGCATATGCAGGATGTTTCTTGGCAGGTTGGGTCTGATGGTCACTTTTACACAACAGAAAGCAGAACAAGAAATCAGGATGTGCAACAGAGAGGGGAAATCAACCGCAGATGCATCTGTCCCAGAGGGGTGATGGGGCAGCTCCGGGAGGCACCTGACAGCAGAGCTGGGGCTCAGGCCAAGGTGAGGGACCGGCCTGACCAGTCCCAATGACCAGTCCAGGACACAGAGGTTCCTGGCACACCCCCTGCGCTCCCTCGTGTGTTGTTTGGGGCCCAGAGCTGCTCAGAGAGCTGTCCCTGCTGGATGCTGTCCCAGCGAGGCAGCAGCACTGGTGACAGGGGTGTGCCTTCCTCCTGGGGCTGCCAGGGCTCTGAACCTGCCTGGCACAGCGTGGGCAGCTGCCTCCTCCTGAGACACACACCAGGCACAGATTGGCCTCTGCTGCAAGCCCCCTGGGCACTTTGAAAAACCATTCTGACCCTTCCTCTTTCTGTGGAACACCAGAGCAGCTCCTGCTCCCCATTCCAGCATCCCATTGTTCTCAATTCCAGCATCCCCTCTCCTCATTCCCGTATCCCCATTCCCCATTCCAGTATCCCACTGTTCTCCATTCCAGCATCCCCTCTCTCCATTCCAATATCCCCTCTCCCCATACCAGTATCCCCATTCCAGCATCCCCATTCCCCATCCCAGTATCCCCTCTCTCTATTCCAGTATCAGTGCCTTCCATGGCACACTGTTGCAATAAAGCAGTCAAAACTCAGTTTTTAATGCAGAAAAGCCCCTTCTTTACTCACAAACCTCATTTTTCACAGACTTTGTGTTCAGTTCCAATTGGCAGCAGTTTCCTTGCTGCACTCATTGGTTAGTAAATGGCATTTTACCTTTCCATCAAATCTCTCTATTCTTGGGTTGTTTACATATTTTGCTCACTGATTCTCACAGGACAAATTTCTTGTTATTACAGCTGCAGCCTGTTTTCCTTACTAGATTGTTTGGGTAACTTATGAGAACTTACAAGCTAGCTGCACTGAGGAGTACCAGGCCAGCTGATTCGCCTGATTTTAGATGATTTAGCTGGAAATTTAGGCCTGATTTCAGGTAATTTAGCTGGAAATTTAGGCCTGATTTCAGGTAATTTATCTGGTAATTTAGGCCTGATTTTCTAAGACATTTGTTTTATCTGTCCTTGTCTGCATCAGCACACCAAGAAATTCCATCTGGATGGCAGAGGAGGAGGAAGCTCAGCAGCATCCACAGCTCAGCTTTGCAGCAGGAACACTTGCCCAGGATGCAGCAGACCCGTGGCCAAGGAGGCCCAGCTGAAATGCAGCATTTTGCAGCAAAAAGGAGCCTCTGGTTCCCCAGGGGAAGTCGCGAGTGCTGAGAGGGGAACAGCAAAGCCACTTCCCCAGGCTCTGTGATCCCAGCAGCCTTTCCCAGGGAAGGTTTGGCTGACAGAGATGTTGTGTTGCCACGGAGCACAAACACTTGAAATATTGCTTTAGAGCAGAGAGGGGGGATATGTTTTTATCTGGAGCACAGATCTGACCTACTTGTCAGGGAGAGCCTCACCACACCTGAAAGCTGCAGCCAGCACAGATGCTCAAGGGGGGGACTTGTCCTCTTTAGGGTTAAATCTGCTCCCTATAAATCTTCACCCATCATCAAATGACAATTTTTACACCTCAGGATGGCAGTTTTATGAGTCCAGCTGTATTTAGCCAAATAAACAGACGCACAGCCCAGAATGGAATAATGGAATTTATTGGTAATTGCACAGCAAAATCCGCAGTAGACCTGGAGCACGTCTGTAAAAGGATAATATTTGAGTGATACAGAAAGAAAGCAGCTTTTTAGGGATTGAGTGAATGAATCCCACTGCTGTCTGCCATTCATGGGTGGATAAGGCTGGTGAAAGAGGAAATGCCCTTCACCACCAAGGGGAAGTAATTGCTTCACAATTAACCATTTCCCTAAAGCAGGTCCTAGAAGAAGGGAGGAAGAAAACAACTACTGCAACCAGAACATTCCTTTGGCAGTGCTTGAGTCCATGGCTGAGGTAGATGGGGTTGTGTGTCCCCAGAAACAGAGTCCCCATTTGCATTTCTGATTTCAAAAAAGAAGAAAATAAAATTGTTTTCTATGAATTGTGCTTCGCTTCTACAGGTAGAAGGAGCAATACCCAGTGGTGCAGCTGAATAATAAAAAATACTTCAAAAGCAGTAGGTTCTCTTCACTCCAGCACAGAGGATGCCAGGTATCACTTCATCAAACTGCTGTGAGTCAGTATGTTCCGAAAAATCCTGAGAACAAACCTTGGCAGTGCCCAGAGAGCTGGAGCAGCTTTTTCTTCAAAAAAGTTGGGTTTCCAGAGCTCAGGAAAAGAGGGATGTCACCAAAAAACCAAACCAATGAACCAAAGCAGCTTGCAGGAAAACCAAGGCACATTGGCACTGTGGGCACTGAGGCTTCTCTGGGCCCCGCAGATCCGAGGGCGAGAGATTTTCTTTTCCCCAATAAATGAGAAAGATTTTTAGAACATCATTATTTTGTGTTTAAATGGAAGTGAATTATCCCATCAGCATTATTCCTCCGATCCACTGAGAGCAGATCGTGTCCTTCAGTCTGCACTGGTCACCCAGCAGCCTCTGGAAGGGTCTAACCAGGATTTTCAGTGCTGTAATTTTGATCTTTTTGCACAGCTTTGGTCAGTAGGGATCTTCCTCATCCGTGTCCTAAACGGGGAACAAGGAGAGAAACAGATTATGTGTGAAGAAAATGAACCAAGCCATGAGCTCAGCCAAAGGCTGAGCCTGGCTGGGCTTCTGAAATGTTTCCCAAAAATCCTGCTGTGCTTGAGCAGGCCAGAGGACCTGGAAAACCACTGCTATAAATATAAATATAAATATAAATATAAATATAAATATAAATATAAATATAAATATAAATATAAATATAAATATAAATATAAATATAAATATAAATATACTTAATCTGTTGACTGTTTGTTTGACTTCTCCCAGACACAACCACCATGCTATAACCCACACGAAATGTATTTTAGGAGAAGCAGCAGCTAAAGATGAACCAGAAAGTGCAGCAGGGCCCTGCAGAGAGCCCTGAGCATCACCAATTATTGGTTTTCAGCCACTTTTAGAAGCCAACCACAGCAAGTTTGATGGTGTCCCACAGGCAGCTCTGCAGCTCTGAGCTCACCCAACAGCTCAGCTCTGCAAGGCCAATCTCACTGACACCCAGAAATTGCAATCTAAAGGGATTTTCCATTGCCTTTGCAATTTTGTCTGGTCACATATGGAGCATGAAAAAGCACATTGGAGGAACTCCAAACACGCAGAATTGTTAAAATGAGAGGGCAGCTTTCTCAGAGACCTGATCAGATGAATATTTCAGAGATAAATATTTCAGCATCAGACAGCAAAGGATCAAACCTGGCAGAGCACTGCCATGAAAGCAGCAGGATTTTATAATTCCAATTCCACTCCTCCCAAGGGATGAGAGGATAATTTTCAACTTTTAACATCTCCCATGTCCTGACAGCATTTCCTCACCAAGCTGGGGCTCCATCCTTCCCCATCTGTCCTCCTGGCACCTCCCTGATTCCAGAACATCACCTGAACAGCCCTCCCACCTCTGGCCCGAGGCGTTTCTTGCTTCCCCCACCTCTCCAAACCCTCATTCCCATCACTGCAGCTCAGTGCCTGCCGTGTCTAATGCAGAACTGTAAATATTTTATGTCCAACTTACATAATTGCCTGTTTTTCATCCTGTATCTCATAGAAACCATCAGCGCACGCCTGTCTGAAGGCTTGGGCATTTAGGGCAGTTTGAAATCACTGGCATTAGGAGAGTGGAGCAAACAACACATATTTAAACCCTCCTTAACTCACGTCCTGAGCGTGTGCAGGAGAGGCAGAGGTGCCCCAGAGGGAAATGAGCTCTGCAGGACACAGAGACAATGAAAGCCCTCTCCAATCGGGCATTACTCTGGAATGTGGCTCCCATTCCAGAGAGCAGGACTCACACAGAACCAGGGCAGCAGGTGGCAAAAGCACTCCGGGGCTGGAGCACAGGCACCTCAATAACAGGAGCTGCTGCTGGGCTGGCCAGGGGAGCAGCAGGATTAGAAGGCAGCCAGCACTTCAGAGAGCACCACAAACAAAAAGCAGAAACAAACAAACAAACCGCCAGGGTTTAGCAATGCTCTGCTGCGGCGAAAAGGAGGTGAAAGGAGGAAGAAAACACAGAGGGCTGAGGGGTCGCAGCCTGCCTTCCCTGTCACAGGCATATCTTCATTAAAAATCTTGCCTTAGGATTTTTCCTCCTGAGAAGCTGGGAGGCCTCAGGAACAGAATGCAATCAATGGTTATCTGCTGCTGTGGAATGCAACAGGTGCATCTGGGATTGGTCTCATGTGGTTGTTTCTAATTAAGGGCCAATCACAGCCCAGCTGGCTCGGCCCTCTGCCCGAGCCACAAACCTTTGTTATCATTCCTTCTTTTTCAATTCTTAGCCAGCCTTCTGAGAGGAAACTTTTTCTTCTATTCTTTAGTATGGTTTTAATGTAATATATATCATAAAATAATAAATCAAGTCTTCTGAAATATGGAGTCAAATTCTCATCTCTTCCCTCAACCTGAGACCCCTGTGAGCATGGTCACACTTCCCCAGCACAGCACTGCCAGCCCCAAACTGCTCCTGCAGAGCCCCCAAAGAGCCCCCACGGCAGCTGCCACTGCACCCCTGATTTCTCATCTCCAAATGACAGCCTTGATTCCACTGAGTCCAGAAAAATCAGTTTGATGGATGTCAGGACAGCTTTCCCAGCAGCACAGCCAGCAGCTCTCACTGCAAGGAGCCTTTGGGACAGCTTGGACACCCAGAGGTGTTGGGACACTGCCTGCTGCTCTCAGCACCTCCTTGGAGCACCCAGGTTGGCAAAACCACTGTAAAAACAGCAATTTTCACTTACCACACAGTTCAGGCACCACTCCTTGAGCTTCCCCCCACAGCCAGCCCGGTCTGGGTGCTCAGGCCTGCAGAAAAGCACAGCATCAGGCTGGACTTACCACCAGACACCCCAGTGCCACCCCCAGACTGTGAATTCTGGTGGTACCGCATGGAACTGAAGGGTTTTCATGGTGAGGAAAAGCCTTTAAGTCAGCTCAGCAAAGCCAAAAGGACTGAAAGCTGCCAGATGCCTCATTTTGAAGGTGAAATGAAAACAAAAAATGAAAACAAGAGTTGCTTTTTGACTGGCAAATCTTACACCACCAATCAAATCATTAAAAGACTGCAGTAAAACAAAATCATTTTGCAAGGAGTTGAGCAGAAGGGAGCTCAGTCTCCAAGGCTCTTTCAGCACCTGGCAGCCCTGCTCAGCCCACCACAGGAGGCATTATTGGGTTTGTTTTGCCTTTATAGGGACTTCACCCCAAAATGCAGCACACAAATCTCTCATGCAAAACATCCCGCTGACTCAGGCTCAGATAAACCTCATTACAGAAGTGAAATATGTCTGAGCCCAACGTGCCTCAGCCCCATGGCTCTGCTCACTCGAATGGCAGCACACAGGGGATGTGCAGCACACAGGGGATGTGCAGCACACAGGGGATGTGCAGCACTGGGTCTGTGCTCAGCTCAGGGATTTCCCAGGGCTTTCTGCCTGCTGGGTGAGCAGCACATCCCAGTGACTGAGCTGCACTGGAGGCCAGTGGGGAAATCATCCCTCGTGCCTGAGCCAACACCCCAAAGTGGAAATACAGGCTCCAGCCTGCAGCCAGGACTTACTCATCAGACACTTCAATGGAGGATTTCTTGTAGCCATATTTTCCTTTCTCCTTCAGCAGCCGGAATTTCCTCCCCATCCTCACCAGCAGCAGGACGACCACGAGGGCAGAAGGGAGGAACACCAGGATGGAGAGCAGAGCTGCTGAGCTCAGCTGGAAGGCCAGGCCTGGAACACAGCGAGGCATGGTGTGGCTGAGCCCTGGGACAAACCCCAGCCAGGGCACAGCCTGGTGGCCCTTCCATGTGGGACACAGGGCTGGCAGGCTGGGAACAGCCTGTCCCCACGTCTGCAGGGCTCCTGTCCCCACACCTGTGGGGCTCCTGACCCCAAATCTGAGGTACCCAAACCTATGGGAGTCCTGTTCCCAAACCCGTGGGGGTCTTGTCCTCAAATCTGTGGGGCTCCTGATCCCACACCTGTGGGGCTCCTGACCCCACACCTGCAGTCCCCACATCTGCAGGGCTCCTGTCCCCAAATCTGAGGTACCCAAATCTGTGAGGCTCCTGTCCCCAAACCTATGGGACTCCTGCCACCAAACCTGTGGGGCTCTTGTCCCCAAACCTGAGGTCCCCAAATCCATGGAGCTCCTGTCCCCACACCTGTGAGGTTCCTGTCCCCAAACTCTGGGGCTCCTGTCCCCAAACCCTGGGGCTCCTGTCCCCAGACCTGAGGTCCCCAAACCCACAGGGTTCCTGTCCCCAAACCTGAGGTCCCCAAATCCATGGAGCTCCTGTCCCCACACCTGTGAGGTTCCTGTCCCCAAACCCTGGGGCTCCTGTCCCCAAGCCCAGCCCAGGCTCAGGGCTCAGGAGCTGCAGAGGAAGGCACGGCACAGTTCTATCAGCACGCTGAGCTGAGAATTTGGGGCAGGGCTGGCACGCAGGGCAGATGAGGAAATTGGTGCTGACAATCAGCGCTTGTGATGTGGGGATTATTTTTAGGCCAGCGTTTCCTCAATGTTTAACTTGTTCTGCCGCAATTTGCGGAGGCTGAGACTCCTGAACAAAGGGACACTTTTGATTTCTGCTGTCACCACAGCTCCCCCCGTCCCTTCCTGCCCCAAATCAACGCAGCAAAGCAATCAATTCTCAAAGCACTGAGCTCAGAGAGCGGGGCTGGGGCAGCCCCTGCTGAAACTCCAGCGTGGAGGTCCAGGGAGCATTTCCCACGTGATGCTCGGGATTCCAGGATCCCACAAAGCCACTTTTGTCATGGGGTGATGCCAAAGCCAGGGCAGGGAGCCTTACCCCGCTCTGTCACCAGCAGCACGGTCTGGGGGATGTTGTGATAAACATCTGGAGGGTTCTTCACGCTGCAGATGAATGTCCCGTTGTCGCTGAGCTCCGGGCTTTGGATGGCGATGGAGGCATCGCCGTTAGCAACGTTCCCAACCCAGATGATCCTGTCCTTGAACCTCCCCGCTGTTGTGGGGTGTGGGACGGAGCGATAGTGAAAAATCTGCGAGGAGGGAAAGGCAGGGATTGTGGCGACAGAACACTCGTGCAAGAAAGCAGAGCGAACTGCTTCTGCATTGCAAAAATAGGAATAATGTCACACTAAGAAGTCAGGAAGAGTATTTCCTATGCAAGAGAAATAAAGCCACCAACTGAATCTTTACAGCCATCCTGCGCAGTGCACAGTGCAGCACTTGTGACAACCCCCTAAATTTATCTACTTTATCATTATTATGCCATTTTGTATTTACCTGGGATATTTTCTTCCCCCCAGAGAACACCAAAGGAATTTTACAGGAGGAAGAAGGCAACAACGAGAGTCCCAAACCGCAAAGTGAGGCAGCAGCCCAGCAAAGCAAACAGAAAATTCTGATTTTGGCCCTGTTCCACCTACTGTCTCCATCTGGCCCCCAGCGAGGGGCCGGTAGGTCCAGTCCACCAGCAGGCTGTCGGTGATGGGGGAGCTGGATCTGAAGGAGCATTTCAGCAGCGCCTGCTCGCCCACAAAAGCTCGGACTTTAGGATTGACTTTAATTTCCAGGGAAAGGGCATTGCAGACACCTGATGGAACGGGAACAAAAGGAGGGATTCATTTTGTGCTACCTGAGAGGAGCTAAACTGTCCCAAAAATGCCGACTCGTGTGCAGGACTGAAGCACAGCAGTGACTCCCTCCCCTCCCTCCCCAGCACTGAAATTTGCAGGAAAACAGAAATCTCCCCTGCCCTATTCTCCGTGGGACTGGAACCGGCCCCAAATGAGGCACCGAGGCAGCACCACCAGGAATGTTCAGATTTGGAGACAAGGAGCTGAGAAACGGAATCAGTGGGGTCTCAGACGAGTCACCAAGCACCAGCTTTAGGGACTTGGAGCAGTTCTGCCCTGCGGTTCTGGCCACAGCGCTTGAATTTCACACGAACCGGGTCAAAAGTCTCCCCACAGCTCCAGATTCTTTCAGTTCTCGTTCCCAGGGCGCGCGGCCGCCTCTGCCCCGTTCAACCCCGGCCGTTCCCGA